GACAGGCGCTGTGAAGTCAAATGTGCATGTATGCACGCTAGCGCCTGAGAGAGGCAGGAAGAGCGTGGGAGCTACAGAAACTACTGTAAGAGAATAACCAGTGCTGCTCTGTCTTGCTTTAGTCAGCAAACTGTCAGGCATTCATCTTTATTTTTGTGTTTTCCCATGGACAAATACAACTGTGCATTGTGGTTGCCATGGAAACATCTCCTAATAGTCCTCATCCCTCTCTCTGTAGCAATCGTGATCTGTGCCAAACATTCAAATAGTTTATGGAAATGTACTTATTGGAGCATGCACTTTTCAAACCTCGTATATCAAACTGACTGTTACTGATAGTGATGTCATGCAGTGATACAAGATAATGTTTTCCTGGCTTTATCTAGCTTGTTTCAAATGGTATGTGGGTATGGTTTCTGAACATCAGGACTCTGAGCTTTCCCACAAAGGAGTGCAGTCCAAGGCTGTCGGGGAGTGTTGCAAATATTCAAAACCACAAGTGGTGGCGCTAGAGGAAGAATCACTGGATCACCAAAGTCAGTAGGATTCATCATCTTGGCTCCATGAAAGGATTTTCTAGAGGCGATTTTTGGCATGCCAAATCAAATCATGCCATGTTAATGACTTGAAGCAATCTCAGTTGACTGAGAGGTCTCCGACTGATGAAACCAATCTCTGACTTTCAAGGGGTATCCCTCAAAAAATGTATATGAATTTCAACTGGATTATCTTATACAGAGTCCCAATAATCTATTTCCTTTTTTGGAGGAAGAGAAGTGGAGGCATGTTGTTTTGGCGTGCTCCGTGGCACTAACACCAATACTTCCAATGCAAGGATGCTCGAGGAGATGGGCATCCAGCATTCGTTTGTGCAGTGCTGAGAGAAAATTAGGAACACAAAAGTGGACAAGATCCAAAACCTGATCAGATTTTATTGTGGTGATGTGATGGTGGACAGACTGACCATCTGGCCGACAGGGAGATGTTGCCATCCTTAGAGTCATCTCGCTAGCATGACTAAACTCCCCTCAGCTGCAGCTTGGCGGTGGTCTTGAACATAACCCAGTGTAGAAAATTACTGAACAAATATCCTTTAAATGAGCAGGAAACTAACAGGATAGTCTCTGCTTATCTACTAAGAAAAGGCAGGTTGCAAACCGTGCTTTAGATTAAGTTGTGGGTCTGCACAACTGCGTCCTGTGTGGGTATAACAAAGAACTTATTTGCCAGAAATGTCAATTGTTCCTGAGAGAAAACATGTTTGATTCAGAGAAGCAAATTAATCAAATCAAAACTGATTTTCAGGGCTTCAACCAGATCTCATGGTCTTCATCAGCACTTCTTGACAAATGCATAAATATCTTCTCCTAAAACGCTACAGACAAAAAGTTTGTTGTAGTGCCCGTGTTAACCAGAACCACCTTGAAATGATGACAAGTTGTATTTACGACTTCTGAACTCTGAGCTTTGAAGGCAGCGTAACATCCTGTTCCGAGCCCTTTCTTGGACCGCTCGCTACTCTCTGCTATATTTTACTGTAGCCTTTTATTGAGCATTCCTCTGTGCAGCTGCTAAGCTTCGCAGGATCGAAGACAACATGGTTATTTTACTAACTTGACACCTCGCTGGCATTTTGGAGACGTAGTTTGCATTTGAATGATTCCTTGGAGCTGAAGTTGAAACCCCGGCCAAAGCGAAAAGAAAATATCTGAGTGTGTGGTTTTGTTATAAGAGGAATGTGAACTTAAATTCCTTTGTTTTGGTTCGGTTTTAACTGGAATCAGTCGTTCATTGTACATGCACGTACAGCACATCAAAGACTCACAATGTCTGAACCTATTTCATGTAAATCAGTGACTGATTAAATCTTTATTCAGGTCATTACACAAATATTTTGGAACACAGCTATTCTCCTAAAAGTCTGTTGGGTTCAGTGTGTTGTGACGGTGTAACAGTGTCAGAACCAGGTCAAATGTGGTATTTATCTCGCACACACATACTGCCCATGTACAGCAGTGGAGATCCAAGCCAGCTGATCTAATCTGGGGGGCTGTAGACAGGCCGTCTGCCCCTCTGTGTCTATATAAACGGACACACACACACAAACGCTCACACAGGCACTCAGGAATGCATCACTCAACACCGCGCACACTGAACGTCAGAGCTTCCTTTACCACAGTGTAAGGGAATGCAGTCTTTTAATGTAGCCCCTATGAATAGCCAGCAACGGCCACTGGAGTCAAAAAGGAAGAAGAAAAACGTTTTCTCGCTGTATCACCGTCTGTCCAGCTCTAATTTGAACCTCATGCTTTAATATCCAGTGTTGTAGACAACTTTAGCTACTGTGGAGATTCCCGTAGAAATGACTCCCATGAGTTTGTGATTTATGGTCAAGCGGGATATTAGCTTTACATTCCACATGTTAATTAGATTCGGCCCATGCTGACCCCTCACCAGCGCACCTTAAAGCAACATCAGGCCATTGATTCGGTGTCTCTCTGGAGGAGCCTCTCCAGCTGTTGCTTATTAGAGCTGCCAATAAGCCGTGATAAGAATCCCAAACGCATGTCAGCGCTGACTGAATCTTTTGAGACAGCAGCACTAATGTGGAATTTATAATGATAGCGAGGGGTCACCGAAAAACCTTTGTCCTTAACTTACAGTGCAGACTGTAAATATAACCTCAGCTCTTTGCTCATGATTATTTATAGTCAATAAAGCTGTAACCTCAAACTGAAGGAAGTCTTCTCAGGCAGTGTTTTGGAGCCACGCTAGCAGTTGGTCTGTTGGTCTGTGGAAGACTGAAGTATCTCTGAAACTATTGGATGGATGTCAGTTATGTGCAGATATTCATGGTCCCAGAGGGGGTATCCTTAATTACTTCTGTCACCTCCTAACCTTTCGCCTGGCACCACTGTGAGCTTGAGAGGTTTTGGTTTTCATTTATTGGCACCAGCAGGTCAAAGTTTTAATTTATCTACCGAATATCTTCACATCTACCAGGGCTGTAATCAACCTAAGAAAGTCTTAGTCGACTGAAACTCTGCCTACTCCTCAACTATTCAATTGGTCAGTGGGGAAAGAAATTCTGCACACTACCTCCACGTGCACTCTACCTTACCTAGGGCAAGTTGAATGCCTAGAGTGAAAAATAAATATGATGTCCACGTTATCTGTGCATGGTATTGGGATTGGGGGCATCTAGCTGAGCTGCATGCACAAGTCTATCTCACCACCAAGCGTTAAATATTGGACACTATTGAAGATATTTCTAAGGCTGGCGATACAACATAATGTCACTAGCGTTAAATATTTTTAAGTTGAATGCGATCGAGGCTTACTATTTTGGGGTAAAACGCTGCGCTGGTCAGTGTCACTAGCCATCCAATCACAGTTGATTAGAGGCAGGAGAAAGACCAGCTGTCACACAGGACATTTACAAGCACTGGACAATTAACAGCTGCCGTTTTCAGCTGGGAAAAGACACACTTTGGTGAACACATGACCTTGTTAAAGTAACAGCAGCGATTGTCCAACCAATGAGAATTTGGTCAGACAAGAGCATATCGACCAGTCAACCAACCAACCAGAATTTGACAACCCAACCCAACCAATCAACTGGCACAGTTTGTATACAGACATTCATTGTTCCCAGAGGATGGATCCCACTGAGCCTGGTTGGTCCCTGATTCTTTCTGTAGCGCCAACATGAGGTTGAAATTAGTGGTTTTAGTAAAAGGCTCAACCAGGCTGGTTGGTCCATCCTTTTGGTCCAGACTCAAATCTTTGCAACCCTTGGCGGGATGGCCATGACATTTAGTAAAGACATGATTTTCAATGCACGATTATCACGGCCAAAAGGGTTCACGTGAACAACATTATCGCAGTATCTATAGAAGTTTTTGAAATAATTATCATGCTTTCAGTCAAATTCATCTTTAAGTTTGTTTAGTGTGCGTTATGTCTCTTTTTGGCAAATGAATTAAGCTTTGAATACGAATATAGGGAGGCGGAGAGAGTCTGTAACCATCACTGTACAAAACTGTATCTTGAAAAGGCAACTAGATAGTGTTGGAGTGGGAGATAAAGTGAGATAATAAAGACACAGAAATGATGTAAGAGGCGATACTGTCATATGTCTAAGCAATGTTTAATTTTTGAATATGGTTATCATCAATACCAGTGTATCACAACACTCCTAGTCCCAACTTAAATGGCAGCCTTAGCCGTAACTGTTTTTAGTTCTAATCAGCAAATGTAGCATGTTAATACCCTTAATTAAGACTGTGAACATGATAAATAAACCTAAACATCAGCATGTTTTTCACTATAAGTATGTTGGCAAGCTTTGCTTATTACCTGCTATGTCTAAGTGCAGTCCCACAGAGCTGCTAGCGTGGCTGCAGACTGCTCACAAATCAGCCGTTTAGCGCAGAGAGACGTCCGTCTGCTCACTTATCCTTTGTAAGTCATAAGCTTTGCATTAAGAGCACAACAAGATGCATCGATATGGCTGACAAAAGGGCCTTCACACAGACACGGGATCAATAAACACAACCAGAGAGGGGTTGACTCTGGGGAGCTGAAGCTATTTACAGTGAAAGGGATTGTGGGGAAAAAGGAGGCTTCAGTCCAGGTCAGGGGCAAGTCACTGCGATTGTGTGTCTGTACTGTAGGCGGATGTGTGCTGCATGTTTGTATGTGAAAGTGGTCCGAATTGAATTAACTGCCTTTTACCCTTTGACCGACTGAGAATAGCCGAGCCGCTGCCACTGGATAATTTATTATCTCCAATCAAAGACGTTTACACATTCAATCTGTCATCTTTGAGACCCTCTCTCGTTGTTCTGGAGCCATTTGTCCAGGAAATTATGAATTGAAGCATTCAGGCTGTGAACAAAGACATCGTCACAAATGACATATTGCTTTTCAGAACAGCAGTATCTCTTTGATGAGACCGCAGCACATTTAGAATATCTTTCCTGTGTGTGTGTTTTCAGATGGACCTGAAGCTGCTCTTGATCTCCACATTGTTAGGAGTCTTCTGTTTCAGCAGTGCTCAGAAAGGTAAGGTTGGCTGACACACTGTATTGCTGTAACATCATTATTCTGTCACATGATGTCATTTCGTTGATGTCAGCACACATATTAAAAGTTTATAATGATGACTACCTCCTCAGAGGGAGGCCAGCTACTTTATCTTAATGATGTCACTGACCAGAGATCCACCTACGGAGTGCGGAGGATAATGGAAAAGAGGGAATATTCCTCTCTGTCTCCAATTACCGTCGAGCCGCACGGTGTTCCAGATGAACTGATGTGTAAACACGGGGGGCTTAACGGGCTGCTTACTTTGCAGGGCCTGTGCTGTGCCCCAGCTCCCTCTGACTCTGCCTCCTCCTCTCTTTTCTCTTTGTTTTCCATCCAGAGGGGAACGAGTGCATCAATGCCAACGCCAAATACTGCGGGGAGTGCATCCAGGCTGGAGCCAAATGTGGTTGGTGTAAAGACCCAGTAAGTGAATCGAAGCCGTCAGCTATAATCGCTGCTGAGAAGTGCAGTTTGATGCCATTAGGCATATAGCGATAGCGAGCATGTGGTCTTTGACTGTGCCTGATGTAGTGCTGCTGCTATTGATTGTTTGTGATCAATTTTTAAAGTAATCAATTACTTGTTTAGTCTATGAAATGTCAGAAAATAATGAAACAAAACACCATAATGTCAGAAAACAGAAATTCTCGTTGAAATGATTAGTTGATCAATGGATTTATCAAACCAACAGAAAACTATTTTGATAACTGTTTTACGATTTGCTGCTTTTCTTTGATTTATATTTTTGTAAACTGAATATCTTTGGATTTTGGACAAGCAGATTAAAGACGTCACATCAAGCCAGAAGGGGCATTTTTAGCTATTTTGTGATGTTTTGTATAAAAGATCAAATCATTAATCAACAAAATCAAGCATTAATTTGCAATAACTGCGACCACATACACACATGAATTTACACATACAGCGATCAGCCGAAACAATAAAACCACTGGTGGGTGAAGTGAATAACTTTGATCATCTTGTTACAGTACAATGTTCTGCAGGGAAACCTTGAGTCCTGGCATCCCCCCCCAACCCCCCCCCCAGGAGGACAATGCACCATGCCACATCATAAAAACTGCTCAGGAATGGCCCGAAGAACGTGACAAAGAACTCACTGCATTAACTTGGCCTCCAAATGCTCAGATCCCAATCTGATCAAGCATTCATGGAAAGCGTTGGTACCCCAGAGGTACCCCCGATCCACTGTGGGGCCATTTTGAATCAGATTCTGCTCCGACATGTCAAGGCATGGATAGTCTCTATATACAGACTCTACATTCAGTGAATGTAGTGTCTGTAGGCAAACCCCGGAGATCTTGCGTCCGGAAGAAGAGCGGAAGAGCCCTGGTTTCCGGTTGTAGGCTGTTTGTAGTCCGCGTGATATTGACCAATCATGTTTGAGCCAGCTGCAGTTGTTACCAGGTTAAACAGTCCGTGCAGTGAACTAACGAGGCGGAACATAATTGGCGTCACTGCAAACTCTGAATCCATCGCAATGGTTCAGCATATTTACTTATGTATAAACGGAAGTCGGAAATGGAAATTCGCCTCTTCCGCCCAAATCAAACCGGAATGCCAAAAAATCAGGGGTCTGCCCCCAGAGGCTGTATCACCATCTGCTGGAAGTCATACGCCGAATACAGCCGATGGGTTCCAAGAATGAGGCATGGACACAGGACCTCAGGGGATGTCCTGTGGTGTCTGGTATCAGGGCACTAGCAGTGAATCCTTTGAGACCCATCGGTTGTGAGGTGGGGTACTGGCATGTCCCACGGATACTCGGATCAGACCGGGATCTGGGGACTTTGGAGGCCAGATTGATGCCTTGCACTCTTTGTCTCGTAAATGCCATGAGGGAGAGACTCGGTCCGCAACGGTGTTTGGATGACTGAAGTGCTTCAAGTGGCATCCATATGAATGCCAGGACCAAAGGTTTCCCAGCAGAACATTGCACTGTAACAACATGGTCAGTATACTTCACTACATCTGTCAGTGGTTTTAATGTTTTGCCTGATAGGTGTACACGACCTCACAAAAACTCAGTGAGTTATGAAAGGGGGATATGGCATCACAGTGCGTTTGTTTGTCTTTCTGTAACGTTTGGCCATATTAGGTGAATCCAGTGACCAGTGGTTCCCAATTGGTGGGTCACGTTGCGAAAGTGGGTCATAGGTCCATTCTGAATAGACTGCAAGTGACTCGCGAATGTGTGAAGTTTGTAAAAAGACACACTTTATTTTGAAGTACAGTGAATTTCCAGCATGGAGCTTTTATTTTGAAGTGTCATTTCCTGCTGTAGAGTGAGTTACTAACCGATAGCTACTTGACAGAGATAGTAAACTAGCTTGACAAGTTAAACTGTGTGGACCTTGAACTAATGACTAAAGGGAAACCTGGGCCCCTTGGCTGGACCAGTTGGGAACTACTGGTTTAGAAGTTATGCACCTTTCTGTTCAAGACCACCCCTGCTGCTCCTTTGCATGAACACAAACACTTGATCTCCATGCCATATTTCAGCCTCCTTGGGCTAAAACTGTGGCTGCCAGAGGGTGGGAAATTTTTGTGGAGCAACCGATTGATCGTTCAACTGACCAACCGACAGATAAGAGCGACATATAGAGCTGCTGGTCACAAATTGATAATGACAGTGATTATTAGTTGCAGTCCTAATCCTCACATTTGAAAAGCTGAAACCAGGCAAGTCTTTTTGTTCAATAGATAACTAAACTGACTGATTATCAAAAAAGTTTCAGATGAATCATTTCAGAACTAGACTAATATGAACCATTAAAGTCACTGTCATTGATTGAGACATGTTTTTTGTATTATGATTTCATAAAGTTGCAAGAAATATTCAAAATTAATGGCTAAAGTCAGAGCAGCAGCAGAGGCCAAAACATCATGACTGTTTGTTCCTTGCATAGTCAAAAGCTCCTGGGCAAACACTTAGTAGTGTCTTTTGTCAGTCCCTTTCTGCTGGTAGACCCATATCTTGCCCACAATTCCCCCAGCTGGCAACGCAAGCTTTCTGTTTTTAACTTCGAGTCTGAGAAAGTGACCCCGAAGAAAGCTCCTCCAGAGCCCCAAAAGACATTATGCAACAGCTTTCACACACTGAGTGGTGGTTCTTATGATAAACAAACAGAAATTCACTTGTGAAATCGATGAATTGTCCCTTTAATTCTTCCCGTGCTGCCGTTGTTAGGACTTCTTGAAACAGGGTGAGACTGTGTCGACCCGCTGTGACGAGATGCAGTCTCTGATAAAAAGGGGCTGTGATGAAGGGATGATCGAGAACCCAACTGGGGAACAGATGGTCCTCAGGAACAAAACGGTGACAAATCGCAAAAAGGGAGCCGAGAAACTGAAGCCAGAGGAAATCACTCAGATCCAGCCTCAGAAACTCACCCTCACCCTCCGATCTGGTGAGGATACATTTCTATTATGATTTTCCTGAAGCTTCTTTTCTTACCTTGTTTTGTATTAGATTGTATTTAACTTACCACTGTGACACATTTTTTTGAATCATGGTAACTTCCTGTAGGTCAGCCCCAGTCTTTTGACTTGAAGTTCAAACGAGCAGAAGACTATCCTATCGACCTGTACTATTTGATGGACCTGTCCTACTCCATGAAGGACGATTTGGAGAATGTCAAAAACCTGGGAACAAGTCTAATGCTGGAGATGTCAAAGATCACCTCTGACTTCAGGATAGGTGAGGACTTTTATTTTGGAGTCTGATCACATTTGACAGTTTGTTTTGCTCCTTGTGAACCCCGAACATAGGCTGCCCCTGACTAACAATTTTCCTAGTCAACCAACAGTCTTCATTTAGGGCCATTAGTCGACTGGTCGCCCGCATTACTACATTACAGAGAAATACAAAACCGTACTAATGAACCTTTATTAATATAGGCCTATATTTTATCTACAAGTGCACGTCACACACTGAGCGAGCCACCTGTTAATGACGCTGTGGCTAATGGGCATGTTGCTACTTCCATGTTTCAGATGATACGTCATGTTTGTAGTCGACCAATGAAGATGAGTTTACATATCACCTTGGGTTCGTCCTTCACCTTCTCAAAATGATCCCACACTTTGGATTTCCTGCCTGACATGTTATTAACTAGCCTGTGGAATAACCGCAGGTACCAGCCCTGGAAATTAGGGGCCGTACACGTGCTGCGTCTTTAACTGCATGGAAAACATGAGATCGGAGCAGAGCTGATCTTCTTCCAGGAGCTGTTTATAAGTGTGTAGGCCTATCATCCATGGGACAGATGTAAAGCTCTGGGTAGCCCTGCACTAACATGATCAACTTTTCCGTATTTATCAGACTGAATATTTACGGAAGAAGGGAAAGATATCTGTCGGCTGTGATTGGTTTGTAACGTGACTCCTGTCTGACTGCTGAGCGTGGCCACTTCCTGTCTCTGTCCTTTCAAGAGTTTGTCTGCACATTTATAGGCACATCACAAACAGAGACTGCTAATAGGTTCTTTTACGTACTTTAATGGTGCCAATTTGTGCCACATTGTAAACACATATGGGCTAAATAATATGGGATTCAAAATGTAGACCATAGTCAGCACAAATGACTCAATGGCAGCATTAAACTTCCTTTTTTCATCCTTCAAAGCAACCAAAATTTGAATTATTATCCCCCAAGTAGAAGTATAACACTGACTAAAAATAATGTGTAATAATCTACTTTGTAGGGGGTTAGATAAAATAGATTACCCTCCTATCCCTGAAGTGGATCGACTGTCTTGTATTTTCAGGTGTCTTGATGGGGGGTATTCAGTGCCACTTGTGTTTGACCTTTTTGTGACCTGCACAAACAAACGAAGGAATTAAACCCTTGAGAGTTCAACGACCTCCACGGAATTAATTTGGTAGCCAGCCAGTCTCAACCCAAGCATCTTCTTAAGCCTTTATCCAAGATGTTTAAAGTAAAATTCTGTATCCAACCATCTCTCAAAGGTTTTGGCTCCTTCGTGGAAAAGACAGTCATGCCGTACATCAGCACCACCCCAGCCAAGCTGCTTAACCCATGCACAGGCGACCAGAACTGCACCAGCCCGTTCAGCTACAAGAACGTCCTGAAGCTGACCAGCGATGGCAAGAAGTTCAACACCCTGGTGGGCCAGCAGCACATCTCTGGAAACCTGGACTCTCCCGAGGGGGGGTTTGATGCCATCATGCAAGTGGCTGTGTGTGGGGTAAGCAGAAAAAAAGGAATAAAGAAAAAGCTTTTTCTCCTCAGTGATCCTGTGGGAAATAATCATTCTCAGGTTCTCAATTCAAGGTAATTTTCCCACAATTACGCACTTGCTCGGAGGGATACAGCGCCAATAAATGCGTTTATGTGGGGATGTGTGAAGCTGTATTTTATGACTCTTCGGCGTTTACAAGGAGATTTTTGGATGCAGTGATAATCAGAAGTTCATGCATCACATTATGAACTGCTCATTGCTTTTATAGAGAGGATATATCGCTGTTGGCAGACAATTACTACTCCTAGTTTGAGTGTTGCTTTCTCATTTCTCAGGATCATATCGGCTGGAGGAATGTGACTCGTCTGCTAGTGTTCTCCACTGATGCTGGCTTCCACTTTGCTGGCGATGGCAAACTGGGCGGCATCGTTCTGCCCAATGATGGAAAATGTCACCTGGAGAACAACGTGTACACCATGAGCCACTACTATGTAAGTAATACTGTTTGGTCTGTTCTGCGTGTGGGCATTCACTGCGACTGGTGTTGACTTTTCTGCTCCATCTTTTTAAAGGACTATCCCTCCATCGCTCACCTGGTTCAGAAGCTGAGTGACAACAACATTCAAACCATCTTTGCGGTCACAGAGGAGTTCCAGCCTGTTTACCAGGTGAGTTCTTTGTTTCTTTATCTGTCTCTCTTTTACTTTACTTTTATCCCTTTCTTTTCGAGCATACTCTTCCTCATTCCTTCCGTGTGTGATTAGGAGAAGCCCAGTGTGTAAAAATATCCACCCAGGCCATTAACCTCTGCTGTGAGTTATAATGGTAGCATCTCCATAAAAGCTTTAATTATTTCCTTGTGCCATGCTGCTGCTTCTCAGGCCAGTTCAACCCATCTGAGTTTGATAAAGTTCTTTCATTAGGTAGCCTCGCAGTAGCTTCAGCATGCTTCAAAGCAATAACAAGTCCATAATTTTAAGGTTGAAATAAATGTTGTATCCATTGAAATCTGGAATTAAATGGTCATAGACTCAATCAGATGAAGCAGCCTGGGGCAGCTTTTTGTGCCTGTTGGTTTTGGAATGCCTAGTGCCTTGTGTTTTCAGGATCACCCTGATCACCTCACATTGAAAGACTTTGTAGATTGTCCACTTAGATTAATTCAGAGGCGGGCCTTCTGTAGTGGCAGTGACAACAAGTAATAGCGTACATGGCTCACTTTCATTGTCGCCCGAGGCAAGCTGTAAGACATTTGTGAACACATTTTAGCCTCGACTACTTTCTAACCTTTTACCAACCATGATTAGGCCTGACAATTGACAGCAGATCATCAGTCTTTTCCTGATTGATCCTAAAATAAGCCTTGAGCAGACCAAGATCCAGGTGAAGCTCCTGGACCAGCTTGTGGTACTACCTGTGATTTCTCCTCATTCTGTAGGTCTCATGTACTTACACAGATCTCAGTTTCCCTGTTTCCAGTCCCCAAGTGTTCGGCCTGTCCATTTTTTTTTTGTAGATTTTAAGGTACATATCTGTGACTTAACTTGACAGCAAAATAGCAGTTGAGTGAAGCTGCAGAAAGCGCTCTGTCTGATTGGGGCCTCAAACAGTATATTTAAGGGCTTGACAAATAGGGGATGTGATGCAGGTGGTGTGCCGGCCCGTCGCGGTCAAGTGGGAGCTGAGCCAGAAGGCGAAGCTTTCGATTTACTCCTCTATCTACGTCATCCCAACCCTCACCTATGGTCATGAGCTCTGGGTAGTGACCGAAAGAATGAGGTTGCGGATACAAGCAGCTGAAATGAGTTTCCTCTGTAGGGTGTCTGGGCTCAGCCTTAGAGATAGGGTGAGGAGCTCAGACATCCGGAGGGAGCTCGGTGTAGAGTCACTGCTCCTTCGCATCAAAACGGGTCAGTTGAGGTGGTTCGGACATTTGATAAGGATGCCTCCTGGGTTCCTCCCGCTGAAGGTGTTCCAGGCACGTCCCACTGGTAGGAGGCCCCGGGACAAACCCAGAACACACTGGAGGGATTACATATGTCATCTGGCCTGGGAACACCTTGGGGTCCCCCAGGAGGAGCTGTAAAGCATTTCTGGGGGGAGGGACGTCTTGGGTGCTTTGTTTGGCCTGCTGCTGCTGTGACCCGTCCCCAGATAAGCGGATGAAAATGGATGGATGAATAGGGGTGGAACAATACATCAATATAATGATTTAATGAGCACTGATCCAATATTATTGATGCTAAGTAAAAACGTCAATACATATTGACAACTTTAAGGTATGCCTTTGCTTTGAAACACCCATGGCACGTCTGTATCACCGTTTCTGTCCACGCCTCCTTCCTAAACATTCAAACAGTGCTAGCAGCCTAGCGCCAGGCAGATAAGGCCAAGCAGCCAAGAAAGAAAATGAGGCTATTTACTGATGTCGTCTCATATCGATCGCAGGCCCCTGAACTGAATCATGATATCAGCAAATACTGTATCATCGTCCAAAGAATCTACATAATGCTCTATCATGATTTAACTTGTGATTAACACCCCTAAAAGTTGATAGAAAGGTTTTCTTGATCCTGTGTTGGAGCTAACTTTGGTAAACCTTTATTCTAAACTTTTTTCTTCTGTCCTCAGGAGCTGAAGAATCTGATCCCAAAGTCTGCAGTGGGCACTCTGTCTGCCAACTCAAGCAATGTAATCAACCTGATTATAGACGCTTACAATGTAAGTACGCCATCGAGATTGTTGACTTTAAGCGTCCTTGTGGAAAAGTTCGATTAAGTTATTGTTTATTCACACAAACCACATCAAAGCATTTAACATTGTGGCCGAGTTGGAACAGTCAAAGCTTTTTCCAAACACATTTTCTCATTTAATACTCAGCTAATCCTCTTGTGTATCGTATGCTGTTCAAACAAAGCTACCAGACGACATTCCAACGCTGGTGTTGTTATCTCTCGGTTTTTGGCAGTCTCTGTCGTCGGAGGTCATCCTGGAGAACAGCAAGCTTCCAGAGGGAGTGACCATAGCCTACACATCCCACTGTAAGAACGGAGTGGTTAGTGAGGGTGAGAGTGGAAGGAAGTGCTCCAACATCTCAATTGGAGACGAGGTGAGGATTGGAACATTTATCTTTTAGCTTCTTTTAGCTACCATGCACCAAAAATACGGAACACCCTGCCTTTAAATATTAGACCTGCGGGCTCAGTGGACAGTTTTAAATGATGACTCAAAACATATCTTTTTAACATAGCCTATAACTAGCAGCTTGTAGGTTGTCAACCCCTGCTGTAGGTCAATATAGCATTTAACAAGTATTATTTATCATACGAAGGGGATAGAAAAGAATCCCTGCACATCTCTATGTGATTATTTTCTCTCTCAGCTTGATGCATTTCCATCCAAAAACCATCACTTTTGTAATTCACACACTGATAGCACAAAATCTACTCTTGGTAACTGTGGTTTTTCTGCACATTTCTCACAATGATGTCACATGGAAACTCATTTAGTGGTTGAATTTTGGTTTGAGATTCTCACAGACATGTGAGAAATTCCATATTTCGCTCTCTGAGTCAGACTCTCTCCCTCATTCCTAGGTCATGTTCACCATCAGCGTGACATCTAAGGGCTGTCCCAAACAAGGCAAGCCCGAGACCATCAAGATAAAGCCCCTGGGATTCACAGAGGAGGTGGAGATCACGCTCAACTTCATCTGTGAGTGTGAATGCAACAAGGAGGGTGTCAAGAACAGTCCGCTCTGCCACTTTGGTAACGGGACCTACGAGTGCGGAGCCTGCAAGTAAGTCTGTGAACATTTCCGCAACCTTTAATGTACTGTACATCTTATCTTACGCAGGAAAATATATAAAACCTTTAAGGCTCATATTCAGATTTCTGTTTTTTTAAGAAATGCTTTAGAATCACGACCTCTCTTTCGTCTCAGGTGTAATGAAGGCCGTGTGGGCAGACAGTGTGAGTGCAGCAGCAACGACGTGGCCACAGAGGACATGGACCGGACCTGCCGTAAAGACAATGGGACCGACATCTGCAGCAACAACGGAGACTGCGTGTGCGGCACATGTGAGTGCAAGAAGAGAGACAACCCTGAGGAGAGGTACAGCGGCCAGTACTGCGAGTGTGACAACTTCAACTGTGACCGCTCTGGAAACAAACTGTGTGGCGGTGAGTACGACAGCTCCACAGAGGAGCATCAGTACAAAGGCTTTACACGGTGTGGTAGAGACTGTTTCATACACCTTGGGATGACGTTTCCCCCGTTTCCTTAGGGCATGGACGCTGTGAGTGCCGAGTGTGTGTTTGTGACCCAATGTGGACCGGAAGTGCTTGTGACTGTTCTCTGGACAACAGCACGTGTATGGCCAGCAACAAGCAGGTCTGTAACGGCAGAGGAATGTGTGAATGTGGCATTTGCAAGTGCACCGACGCCAAATTCCAGGGTCCCACCTGTGAGACTTGTCCTACCTGTCCAGGAGTCTGTACTGAACACAAGTAAGTCTGAAATGAGGACGTTTCAATGTTCAGATACTTTCAATATATTCTGTTTTGCATGTTTTGGTATATGAATGTCTTGTTGTGTTTCCCTGGATGGTATTTCCTTTATGAGCCGCAGAACAAAGACATTTCCTGGGAAGTGGCATGTAGGATATTGCTGGGACACAATACCAATAATACACCAGGTCAAAGATTCAGTTGGGACAAATCAAGACTGCTAAAGCCTCATTAGCCTAATATTCATTTAAGAATGTTTTAAGGCTGCCCCCAACTAAGAATTTTCCTAGTCGACCAACAGTCATCATTTAGGGCCATTAGTCGACTAGTCGCCCGCATGTTTACGATATTAATCTAATTATTAGATGATATATTTTGGGCGGGGCAGCACAATGGTTTGAGTTGAAGGTGTGAGAAAGAATAGTATCAGTAACATTGTTAACACTGGGCTACATTACAGAGAAACACAAAACCGTACTAATGAACCTTCATTAATATAGGCCTATATTTTATCTCCAAGTGCACGTCACACACTGAGCGGGCCGCCTGTTAATGACGCTGTGGGCTAATGGGCATGTAGCTACTTCCATGTTTCAGATGATACGTCATGTTTGTAGTCGACCAATGAAGATGAGTTTACATATCACCTTGGGTTCGTCCTTCACCTTCTCAAAATGATCCCACACTTTGGATTTCCTGCCCGACATGTTATTAACTAGCCTGTGGAATAACCGCAGGTACCAGCCCTGGAAATTAACCTGACTCCTGTCTGACTGCTGAGCGTGGACACTTCCTGTGTCTGTCCTTTCAAATTAAATCCTCACATGGTCCAGTCATATAGGTTTTGATTTATTTTGACAAGGTGCAGCTCCTAATAGAGTTTCAAGTTTGTTTGTTTGTTTTTTGTTTGTGTTTTTCTGCGACTGAGCAACCAATGAAATCTTGCTGACTAATGACCTTTCCGGTTGACTAACTTTGGTCGGCTATCAGGGGGCAGCCCTACTTTTAGATCTTTAGATTTAGTGATAGTTGATTGTACATCCATGGATGCATTGCAAACAGGGAATGCTAATAGCTAATTCAGCGTACTGTTAATGTTGCTAATTTACCAAAATTTAAACAGATAAAGGTTAAGAAAAAACTAAAGCTAAAGTACTATTTTTCCTGTCGCCTGTAGTGCTGTTTATCAGTCTACATTGTTTTGGTGTGAGTTGCAGAGTGTTGGAGATTTTGGACTTAGAGGTGTCTGCCTTCTCTCCAATATAATGGAACTCTGTGTGACCCTTTGGTAGCAGATTAAATCCCGCTGCTCATTACTAACATCAACGCCCCGTTCCCTCCAGAGAGTGCGTCCAGTGCCGGGCATTTGGCACCGGTGAGAAGAAGGACACGTGTGAGAAAGACTGCATGTACTTCAATCTGATCAAAGTGAAGGACAGGGAGAAGCTGCCCCAGCCCAACGACGCCGTTTACCCCGTGATGCACTGCAAGGAGAGGGACGCCAACGACTGCTGGTTCTACTACACCTACGCCGTCAACAACAACACGGAGAAGGAGGTCCATGTGGTCGACACGCTGGGTAAGCAGAGAGCTGGGTGAACATGAGCCAGGGTGTGGAAGGTTTCTGTTACACAGAGAGCTAATTACAGGGGCTGTGGTGGTTAGGGCTGCAAAAATAGGGCATTTGTTTATTCACGTACAGCCGTGTGATCGTGTGTTATTCCCATGCTCTTGTTATTTTTGCTGTGTTATTCCAAGCTGCATAAACACTGCCATACTCTGCTGTGTTTCAGACTGCCCCGCCGGTCCTGACATCATACCCATTGTCGCGGGCGTGGTCGCCGGCATTGTCCTGATTGGCTTAGCCCTGCTGCTCATCTGGAAGCTGCTGATGATCATCCACGACAGGAGAGAGTTCGCCAAGTTTGAGAAGGAGAAGATGAACGCCAAATGGGACACGGTGAGTTTTTGAAGTCAGTGAAAGCTGAGCAGGATAAATATTTTTGAAGTTCTCAGTTTGGTCGAGCAGCTTAAATGTGGAAAACAGGTGTTGTTCGGCTGCTCTGCAAAGCCGGCCGCTGTCAGGGGATTAACTTGTGAAGAACGTGTGTTGTTCCTAGCAGCAGATGACATTTGCAGACTTGTTGATATCATAACACAGTGTCTCACTCGCATTCTCCTCCGTCTCGCAGCTGCAGAAACGGATCGAATGTGTTGCTTTTGAACGGGGCTCAAAATAAAATAGGAAAAATGTCGGGGACTGTGGACTTTTTTGGGAATGTTATGCACTCTGAGCATAGCTGGACTTTTTCCGGGGAGTGGCCACAGCTCCTCCACTCCCTGCCTCCTTCTTGCTGTAGCATCATCAGCCAACATCAATATGACAGAGGACTGGAGTTTAGCACAACTTCATGTGCAGTAAAATGCCTCCACCTAGTGGTGGAATAGTGTCACACCCACAGAGTATGTGGGTTTGATGCAGATGTTCCTGATCACTGCTGCGCCCACTCTGTCTGTTGGGGTCTTACTTATTACCATGGGCAGGGCAACCTTTGCCTCCGCATCCCTTTAATTTTAACAAATGAGAGACTGTCAGTGAAACTGTGATGAACCTGGGCTTTCTGACAAGATAACAAGGCAAAGGAACCAAAAGGAATTTCAAAGACACTGCCTGAGCTTCCTGTGATCTCTCATAGATGCAGCCACATCATTCTGATCCTTGGCCTCAGTGGAGTGCTTGGTTTTAGTGAGTTTAAATAGATCTCAGTTTCATCAGAGTGTCACACAGTCTGGGAGGGTTGTAGCAATATTTCCTTCTCTGTTATAAACACGTGAGAGTCAGGACACAGAATACATGATAACAAATAGTTTAAAACGTCTGCTACAGTTTAGAGCCTCTGTGAATGGATTACTAAGCGGCATCAAGGTTTCAAGAGCTCAGTGGTCGCCTGTTTGAAATGACTGTTAATAGCATTTCTTACTCAGTCAAATGTAGGTGCATCTGGATCACATTTCTTTGCTTGTGATCCTTTATTTGTCTAATCTATATTAATATTTATTACATTTTTTTCACCATAATGCAGCTGTAGAGTGTCTGCGAAGGCTACAGCAACCCTACGTTAAATTGAATGTAGCTACTTAAAGGTTCAGTGTGAAGGATTTAGGGGGATATATTGGCAGAAATGGAATATAATATAGTCAGTATGTTTTTGTCAGTGTATAATCACCTGAAAATAAGAACTTGTGTTGTGTTTTTTGTTACCTTAGAATGAGACATATATATCTACATAGGGAGCAGTTCCTCATTTATGGAGATTGCCATGTTTCTACATCATCGTTTGAAGCCCATCTGCGACGAGCAAAATGTGAAGCTGCTTTGCTCGGTGTTCTTGCTGGTTTAAATCACAGAGTCTGTTTCTTTTGGAGAGGAGGAGACCTCGGCGGGTTATTTGGCTCCTTGTGAAAACTTCCTGAACGTCTGGATCTTAAGTTATCAGAGGAAAAAAGCGAGCACACAATAGCATGTTGTAGGCGAGCCATCGATCTTGGACATGCCAGCGTAGGAGAAACACAGATTCGTTATGTGAAACTGTTTTATTCAGTGTTTTGACTGGCTTTAATCACCTGGGGTCTCATTTATAAACATTGTGTACGCACAAAACGAGGCCTGAAAGAGGCGTATGTCACTCTCCACGCAAAAGTAGTGATTTATAAATACAGAAGTGATGGGAGAAGCTTTGGACCATGCTTACAAACATTTTGGAGACGGGAAATTGGTGACAGACGGTGAGGTGGAAGCCTGATTGTAGAAATTGTCGAACATTTTTTGGTCCACGCCATTTTTGGCATTTGCCAGTACGTACATTTTTAATATGGATCCTATGCATTGTTTTATAATGTATTTCTTTTGGAGAGGAGGAGACCTCTGTGGGTTATTTGGCTCCTCGTGAGAACCTAGAGACTGTCTGGATCTTAACTTATTAGAGGCAAAAAGTGAGCACACAATAGCATGTCGTAGGCGAGCCATCTATCTCCAACATGTCAAACAGCATAGGAGAAACACTGATTTGTTATGTGAAACTGCTTTATTGAGTGTTTTGACCAGCTTTGATCACCTGGTCTGTTTGCTTTGGAGAGGAGGAGACCTCTGTGGATAATTCAGCGCCCTGTAAAAGCCTCCTGAAGAATGAACACTGAAGGAATCCTTTACTCTAACCGAGAGAAGTTTCAACTGGTTGCAATGTGCGATCCTCACCACAAGATGTCACTAAATCCCCCAAATCTTACAAACTGAACCTTTAAGAAAATATAACCAGTCTCACAGGTTTCTTTCATGCTTTTTTAAATATGTTTTTAATGATTAAGTATATGCCTATATCTAAGGGGGAGGTGTATAACGGTGGATCTGTTGTGGCAGGATTCATACAGCCTGTCGTCATCTCCAGCATCAACAGACTACTGAAGTTGAGAATCTTTTTTCAATCAACAGCAGAACTGTTTAGCCAGCGAAGTTTTTTTTTTTTTTTTTTTTTAAGATATTCAATTATAAAGTGCACAAATCCACATTCTGATCACTTGATCAACAATAAAGCTTCTTGTGCACCAGGCTAAACACTGCTTAGTTTTAATCCAGAGCTTATCCTTATCTCTTACCTTCCATTTCTCTCATTGTCCTCGTTTCATCCCTCTCACTGGACTTTATTCATATTTTCCTGCCGCCTTTTTATTCTGTTTCTGTGTTGTTCTGTTATTTTTCCTGCTGAACTCTACTCTGTCCTCGTTCTCCACCTGTAGCAAGACAACCCCATATACAAGAGTCCTGTCAATCAGTTCCAGAATCCAAACTATGGACGTAGAGCTGCTGTCCTTTAAGTTTGTATTTCTTTTCCTTTCCACTTAATTTTCCTGCACGGTCTTTTTATGTGTGTCTTGATTTCACTCTGTATCTACTTTTTCTTTATTTCACCTGTTTTTTAAAAGTATCAGGTAAACGTCAGTATTTTTCATTCTGGACTCTATTTTCCCATGTTGGTCTAAAGCCCCTAGTGTAGTCATTAGAGCACTCGTCTTCCATGCGGATGGTCCAGGGTTTGAATCCTGCTGGGATCGACATCAGCAAAGACATGCGGTCGCAAGAGGGTCCCACTGCCGAATCAAATGGGGTCAGATTCCTTAAGGATAACAGAGTAACTCTGGAATCTGAGCAAATTCGAAGATGTGTCTCATGTTCGTTGTAGACGGGATGTTCCAGACTTAAATGTTAATCATTGTGTCTAAAGCCCCATTTCCACCAAACACTTTCAATATGGGACCTTTGGAACTAAAGTAGCCCTTGAGACATGGTACCTAGACCCTTGGTCCGCTTAGTGTTTCCTCTGCACACAGTCCTCTTAAATGTGGGCGGGGTTGTTGTCACTCACTTCTCCGTCCAGCACTCACTGTATCCTTTATCCTTCATCAGTCTACACCTGGTTTACCATCCACAGAACGAGGCTGCACGCCGACATTTTCAGAACTAAATAGAAGAGGTGATGTTTGTGCATTTAGTTCTTCTCAGGCGAGTGCAGGGGTTTAGTTTATTTGGTTTTATTCTCTCTTGGTTTCATCCAAGAGAGACAATAAAAACTAATGTCACAATGGAGGGACAACTACGCAGGTTGATTTTAGCTCTGCTTATCGTGGACTATATTGCTGTCATTGTTTATTTTAGTCAAACCATACAATTTGAAAACGAGGCGCGGCTCCAACTAGAAAACAATGTTTTGATGCATTGGATGTGCTGAATGTGCATATTAAGGCAGTACAGGAGGAGGTGCACATTAATAATCCTCCAGGACTGTAACATGCTCATGTTTAACCCAAACAATGTGTCATGTCACTGCAGTTGGTTCACATCCAGGTCGAACGCTTTCTTTCCACAAATGAACCGCACCAGAGTTCGTTTGTTACCGGACTGAGACCTTCATGAAGAGGTGGTCTCGGTCCGGGTGCAATTGCTGTGTTCACACCTGCCCAAATGAACCGCATTTAGGGGGCAAATGAACTTGAGTTCGGTTGAACCGAACCAAACAGGGCGGGTGTGAAAGCACCCTTAGAGACAAAAACATGGGAAAATAAAGTCCAGGTTGAAAAATACTGACAATACCCTTTAAGTAGAGAGTAGAGCATCAAGCAGAGCAACATTGCCTTCATAGTTTCTAAAAAAAGGAGTGCATGAGTGTGCCGTGAAAAGTCCCAAGACCTGGTCAGTGTTTGAGGAAATGAAGTGTCCGCAGGGCACAAATACCAAAGCCTTGTCTAGTGAAATGTGTTCAGACATGATGGCTAATGTGTACCTCCTGATTTTAGGTGTGATGTTACAACAGCATGACTGAGTGCTGAGTGTGATCTAAATAAATGACACGTACAGTGAATGATCCATTGTTGTGTTGTTGGTGAATGGATCTGAGTTGTGATTGTAACTTAAATGTTTGCTTTCCAGGGTGAAAATCCAATCTACAAAAGTGCTGTCACGACTGTGGTCAACCCCAAATATGAAGGAAAATGATGACGTCATACTTTTCAATGGACTCTGCTATCAAGTATCTGACAACTGCAGTATTTACCACAGGTGTGGGGTCTGAGGGGAACCTGTGGTGGAATTTATGTCACTTCTTCTTGTTGCTTTACCATAATAATAATGTACCATATGGCCACTGCATCTGTATTTTTACTAACACTTATGATTTATATGAATTGGTTGTATTTTAGATGTACAGTATACAGTATGTGTATATACTTTTAAGTTGAATATTTGCAAAAGTGATGACATGAAGGTATTTTTTCCTGCCACAGGACTGGTAAGGGCAGAGGTTTTAGCTTCTTTTCTTTTTTAACAACACAATGTGGAAACTATGGATACACAGCATATGTACACCTCAGCTTCTGTCTCTTTCACTTCGCTGTCCTCTCGTCTCTTTCTGTGCACTGACTTCCTGTGTGTCTCTGTGTGTTCCAGACAGGACCTGAGTTTAATGTGTAAATCGTCAGCCATGGCAGCACATCATGTCAGTGTGTGTGTGTGTGTATGTATATATAGAAAACAACTGCAATAGGGAGTATTGACTGATACTTTGCATTAGGCTGGACAGTTGTGTTGAATCACAGTAGATTATGCAGTGGTTGTAAATGTAGGTTTGAACTGCAGCTTAAAAACACACTTTATTGCACTCGTATTGAGTACTGTCTATTCTGAAGAAGTTAATACACAAGATGAAGGTAAATATCAACACGCATTATTTGAACTGTTGATACGCGATCACAAAGGGACTGTATACCACTTGTTGAAATCATGATATGTGGCGATGTTGAACAATCAAAGGATTTGTATATGATACAATGAACTAATGAAATATTGTTGTATTTGCTAACTGCAGTAACTTTATTACTCATTCTCAGGTCCTCTCCTGTGTTCTTGTCAAGCACGCCAAAAATATGTTTTATGTCAGCTTGTTCTGTGAAACTCATTCATGTGAGTGGATTCTGTAAGTTTTTTTTGTAGATTTAGAAGACTGAAATAAGAGTATTTGTTCAGACGTGACATGACTCAGCTCTGAAATGCTTACACGCCCAAACGCCTCCGAAGCACCACACACAAGCCTTAACAGTATTTACAGTAAGTGCCTTTTATTTCAATACAATGTTCTCTCCCAATGCTGTTTGAGTTATTTATTAAATAAAGTACAAAAACTGTCCGTGTCTTTCTCCATGGCTAACTGTAACTATGATATAATCCCTTGTGTTTTGATTCTTTAAAATTAATTTCAGGTGTGGATCTCCGTTTTTTAAATACTGGACCAAAACAGGAGTAATGACACATTAAATCTGAAGGCTAGAGGCCAGTGTTCTAAATTCCATTTCTGCTGAATCTGAGAAGCAGTTATTCAAGTTCAAAATGACAATGACTTCATACAAAACTCAAGTATGAAGCGTAACATCCATTACACACTGTATCCTGCCATGGTTTGGCTCGTGGATGGTCACAAGTGTTTCCCGTACTAAAGGTTCATTGATAGGAGTCATACAGAGGAGGACTGAGTATTGAGCTGTGTTGAATTGAAAGTGACGAAAGCTCAAAGAAATGTTGAGTCAAACCAGTGAGAAAGATGGAGACAAGCTAGACACACATCAGTCCATCATGTTTGGGTGGACTTTATAAAGACAAAATAAAACGTACAATGTAGGGCAAACCCATCAAACCTCAAGTTAATATTGGTATTGGTGATTGTAGAGATCAACAACTGTGTTTTAACTACTTAGAATTCCAAGCCAACATATCCGTAATGTAATTTTGACTAGTAGCTGTTCTAATTAAGAACATAGTTAATTTCTTACTACTGGAAATGTTCATAGTAGATCAATGTAGCTTACCGTAAAACTTCAATTAAAAGCCTAGTCCCAGTTAAAACCCAGTCCCTTCTACTAGCCTGGTGTGGCTACAGTTTTTGACAAATAAAGCCCTGAATTGTGGAGAATCTAATCAAACTAACAATCTAAACAGTTAGCTCAAGTGTGTGGTCAACGATCCAGGTTTATACATCCAAAGAACTTCTATAAAAATGAACTGCTAGGAAACCAGACCAGGCCTCTAATTGAGACAGGCCCTTTATTTGTCAAAATGTGTGGCCACACCAGGCTAGTAAAAGGGACTAGGCCTTTAATTGGGACTAGGCTTTAAATCTAAGTATTACAGTAATGAACTTTTACTACTGACTTCCATTCAAACTCAGTAACAGATACCTATAATTTAATTTTGACGTGTTATAATGTCAAGTCGAAATTAGGCTATTAATCAACAAGTTTTGAATAGCTGTAATTCTAATTAATGATGTCTACAACTCACAAGTCTAAGAGTTAATTCTTGATATTAACAATGTCGTATTTTACCATAACATCCTGCCAAGCACTGGTTCTTTAAAATAAAGTATTTAATATTATCGACAAACTGTATAATAATAATAGCAATATTTTAAAAAACAAACAAACATGAATTTTACTCACAGTATTTATGAAAAATGTTTAGAACAGAAACAACCAAAATTAATGGAATAATAAAATGTATATTAAAAGAAGCGATGAGAATCAATTAACTTAATTGAATTGAATTGAACTGAAATTAATTGAATTGAATTTGATTCCAAGTTTGTCCTATTACAAATTAAAATACACATTTTCGATATTTTTATTCAAAAAACTTTGCCGACATCTTTTATCTTATTACACATGACTCCCATGTGTTACAACAGCATCTGCTTCGTCATGTAGTCATAAAGATAAGAGGGTCATCTGATGCTCTCACACAAAGCGGAAGTGCCCAAAATTCATACCGGAAACGGTTGGAGTGAGGCTTCTCACCAAGACGCTGTCAAACTATCTCTGTAGCGAGCTGTAAACAGGGGCGCAAGTTACTCAGGAGCGTCGCTTTAAACCGGCTGTTTTAGCCTTCTATCGACATTAACACCGCTCAACGTTGAAACAAAATGGAGGACGACACACTGACGACGCTGAAAATATTGATAATAGGAGAAAGCGGTGTTGGGAAGTCCAGGTAAGATGTAGTTATCTACAAGAAACTGATGTCGTGGCTCGATGCTAACGTTAGCTAGCTAGCGTTAGCTTAGCAGCAAACCAGATAGTGTGAGCTTTAAAGATGGTGCGGGATTTTTTTTTATCACGGAGGCAACTCGGCTTTTGTCTTCTCTTCTTCAGTGTAAGAAAACAGCTCACACTGACGTTATTAAATAAAATAAGGCTTGTGGTTTAATGGCTGCCCGGCTAGCATGAGCTAGCTGACATTAGCTTTAACTGTGACATCATCTTTGTTCATGTTTGACACAGTTGGTTGGAGATGTTGCAATCGAGACCACCTTTCATCGCCGTCTTCATGGCTTTACTGCCACAGGACACACACTTACATAAGCCAACTGTGAGGAGGAGAGGATTTAATTAACGGGGAGCCGCAACAGTCTGTTATATTGTGGATAACTGCACTGGCCATGCCTGAACTTTCCCTAGTTTTTTAATGTTAATTACTGTATCTGTCTTGTTCCTCCAAAATCAAGTGCTTCACACATCATTATAAATTAAACACATGTCTGTATAAAATATCTTAATGTAAAGGGTCATGGTTGAGCAAGCTTGGCCTCTCCAGAGGGACTTAAAGCCTGTACAGCTCTCACCACACAGTTGCCTTTGCCATTATGTGGTATTCAGTGGTCCTTGTTAGCAACCACAAATCAGCCTAATATCCAAAGCAGAGCATAATGTTTTTACCAACTTCGCTCTGGCAGTTTACATCATGCAGCATGCCAACAGAGCGCCTGGTCAGGTCCGCTGGTCTCCGAGACTGTGGTCCAGACTGCGTGAAAGAATCCCGATAGCCAGCCTGAGCCATCAACCATCACATTGCAAACGATGGTATCGAGTACAGCGTGCCTTCCATGGTCGTAGCACGGTACATGGGTAATGAGCTGCCCAGAGCTTTATTGTAAGCCCTCTGACAAGTGAACTGTCTGGCCAAATAACAAAAAAAAAAAAATCATCTTTCACTGCACTGATGACCAAGCCTCCGGTTCTCAAAGTAATAAAGCGTAACATGAACCACAAAGGGTGTAGGGAGTTTTATGGTGTAATCACAAAACTAGCATCTTCATCATGATCAAAAAGGGATTTGAGAATACCCTTCATCTTGTGTTAGCCCAGAAGGTTGTAAGCAGTCTCAAATGTTTGACCTAATACGTGTGCTTTACATCCCAGAATGTGTGCAGCAATGTTTCCACAGTGTTTCGTCACTTCTTTCTTCCTACACTCAGTTTTTTTATTGATCCCATGTAGATAATTTCTTGATTACACCACACAGCTGTAATTTCAGTCTTGGGTGTGCGCCTGTTTTAGTTAAACTATAGAAATTTGCTTTCACATTTTCTCCAGCAGTGCTGCGAGTTTGCTTACTGTGATGGCAGCTCTGCATTGACTGAACACAGAGAAGAGACTCAGTTCATGCCAACACCATAACATTGAGCTAGGTTTGCTTATATTTCCAGAAAACAGAAGAATTTTGTGGCGAGCTGTGCTCTACGCTGTGCATCATCCAGGCCAAAGGCGTTGTTTCCAGAATGCAATTTTGTATTATTATTAAATAGGCTTTTGCTTAATACAATAAACAAATTCAGGCTGTGATTAGTTTCAAATGTCATCACTTGAATTATCCTGGGCCAGTTGTGCTATTGTCAAGTAGGCACACTGACTGATTTTTGAACAGCACACAGATATTTAATTTGTTTCCCCGCAATCCGTAGAAGCTCTTAAATCATCGGGGAGATGTCTGCCTGGCAGGGAATACACAAGTTTCATTTTACCTGAACAAATGACCTACACAGAGCACATTTCGAACTTGGCTGTCTCGGAGCGCAGCTCATCGGCTGCATGGACCTCAAACAAACACTCATTGCTCCAGCATCCCTCCTGATGGCCCATGAGGAATAATAAGACAATTATGCCTGGGTCAAGGGAGAGGAGTGAGCTTATCCCCATCATCAGCGCTGTGATTAAGGCCTTTGCACTTGATTAGTCATAGTTAAGAAATGAACCCTGTCCTCCTGACTGCAATCTAACTGTGACATCATCTTGTGTACGTAATGCAAGTGAAGGACAAAGTGATCAATATGAAGAGATAGAGATACAGAATTCAATAAGTCTGGTGCCACAGGACAGGTAATGTGAACCAAGCAAATGGGAATCTGATGCCACATCACAAGCCTGCTCAATCTGTGTGGAATAGAATTACTGAAAAATGCCATTCTGATATATTTGGCAGTGATTCACAGTGAGTCTTAATGTAATTGTTTCCTTCTTCGTCTCAACAGCCTCCTCCTGAGATTCACAGATGACACATTTGACCCAGAGCAAGCAGCAACAATAGGTGAGTAACACATGAGGTCAGGTAATGAGACAGTGAAGGTAAGGTTTTGTGCATCAGATGGTGGCAACTGCAAGACCGTTATCAGTCGAGTCAGTATGAGCCACAAACTTTTTTCTTTTTTTGGGGGGGTAAAGATATTTATTAGGGCATTTTGCCTTTAATGGACAGGACAGGTCAGTTTTGACTTAAATAGATATTTTTCCTCTTCTTATTAATTCGTTTCCAGGCATATTTTAGGATGACTCGGGGTTTGACAACCTGCTGTCTATTGTCGGATTGTATAGCTCTGGGTATCCAGCAACTGCTACCACCAGTTTCTTCTCCATTGTTTACTAACTGTAAACTTGTTGTTTTGACCACCACAGAAGGCCCACCTCTCAAATCATCCATTTGGACAATGGGGAAAAAAGATGAAGGAAAAAAGAGATGATGTGGGGTGCTTCTTGGCTTTGAGTTGAAGTTCGTTCAGAGCACTCCAGCAAAAATGTTAGGTGCCTAGAGCATAGAAATGTGAGGCACATCAGAACGCAAAAACTGCGAGCAAAAAGCTACATTGTTATAAAAAACAATTACAAAAAGCCGCCTCCAGCTGCTGAAACACTTTCTGTGTGATCAGAAAGCAGTTAAGGACAAACAGAATTTATAATTTACACTGAAATAATTATGAGTAACGCATTTTGCTTACTCATGAAGGACACTGGCAAATGTGTAGTGTGGTCGTAAACTTATCAACTCATAGATTAATAATCGTCTGTTGTAAGTGCATCTGATAGGTAAAAATACATATTAACATACAGTGAGTGCATGTTTTTTTCCCCCCATGATTTTATTATTTATTTAGTACACCTCGGGTAAAGCTCTGATGTAACGGCTCAGCCATAAATTTCACCTTTTAAAAAGATATTAATGTTCAGTTTTGATTGACACTGTATGTTATTATTAAAGTTTGCAGTGGTTATGAACTCGGCTGCATCATACTGAGAGGTGTTTCTAATGTTTAGCTCACCCCATTTACAAACACGAGAGGCGAAGATCATGAGAAAGACATTTCAGTATAATGCAGGCCAGCACAACACCACCAATCATTATAGTAATAACACATGGTTAAAGTAACACCTCTCTGAAAGTCTCAACAAAAACTGCTTCATAAGGGGAGAATATGTGGCCGAGGTGTTGTACTGGGTTACATTAGATCGTATAGGTGTATCTAATAAAGTGTCAAAGGAGTGTATTTTAATTTAAAAGTATATTTAACATAGTACCTTGTAAATTTAGTAAACAATAATAGGTCAGAATATCCCTGGAGCTCTGTTAATATTACAGCAGTCTGTCTGCACACTAAATGCCAGTGCCATTAATTGGCAGAGAGAGCTCGTTAGGTCTGTCAGAATATTTGTGCTGGCCAGTAAACTGTCTGGAGTTTTTTAAGAACTGTAAATGACCACTAGGCCGAACGATAAGGGAAAATAATCTAATAGTGATTGTCTTTGTTAGACCAATATTACAACTGGTTTCTAATCTTCCTCCTTATCTGAATTACTGACATTGTTATTGAATTATAAACATGAATCTGACTGTTCTCCTGTCAGTAACAGTTTTGTGTTAAATCACACAAACTAAAGTGCACACTGACAATGGCTGTGCTGCTCGAAAATATTTACATAACTCGAATCCTTGTTGTAAACATGTTGTTTACTGTTGCTGCCTCAGCCTCCAGACTGTGGTCAGGACGCTGATGCTCATTTCAGGCCTGACCCTCCTGCACTTTAGCCAGCAGTTGGGAAGCAGAACAAAAACCAAACTCAGTCCTCTTAAAGTGCACCAACAGAAAAGGGACTCAGTTCTCTTTCTGTTCACACTATAGCCTATATATGTATTGACGTGGTTTATTTTTTAAAATTTGAAGTGGCACTGCAGTGCGGTTATGAAGCCCCTCACTTTAGATGAACTTTGAGGAAACCTTAGTGTTTCTGTGCTGTAGGCTGTTGCTATTTGATGTACTCTACATTCCACATCTGGAGACATGCAGTATCTTCCGTGGACCAAACTACTCCTCATCCTGCGTCCACGCAAGCGTTAAGGCCGACATGGTTTTGTCTGTTTTCTCAAGCGTCCCAGTGCAACAGCATGTGATCTAGAGGGCTAAATACATGACAGAGAGCAAACCTGGAACACTTTGTGTTCACAAGGCACAGGTTAAGTAAACCGCACTGCAAATGTGAAGTGAACCTCACTTTCAGGTTCAGACCATTGAGTACAGTTTGCTTCAGAGGGGTCTGAGTTCTCTTGGAGTGTTCACATATGCGTAAAAAAAAGGAGAGTCTCCACTCTGAGACTGTTTAGAGGGCTGGAAAGGACCAAGTGTGAAAACACCTCTAGTCCTGTTTATGCGCCAGCAATTTCAACCGAAAACGGTAAACTTTAGTCGTGTTTTGGCTGATAGTTTACACGACAGCAGCATTTTGGGTGCCAGTGTTTTTAAAATGGGTTCCAGAGTGCAATTTTTGGAAAAAATGTAATATAAACTTGCAATATGCAGTTCCTCTGAAAACTGAGACTTTTCACACATGCGCATTATGGTTCCAGTCACTAGGCTTGCGCGAGAAACTCGACCATGACAACAACAATGGCGGACTCTTGAGCTCTGTTTGTGCTGCTCACCCTGTTGAATCTATCAAGATTATCGTCTGTCCTGACAAACGTGCGTGAGGTTGCCATTTTGTTTGTTTATACATCACTGCTCTGTAGAAGGAGGAACATGTGCACAGGCGCATGTTGTTTAATTAGAGTCACACTGCCAACTACTGGCCTGGCATGTGTACTACAGCGTTGTTGGTCATCTTCGTGGATCCGTGTGCATGGTGATTGTTATCAAAACGTTGTCGTCAAAACAAAAATGAGAAACAATTTCGTTTTCAGTGGATTGTTTTTGTGTAAACCTGACCTTGAGTCTTGATGAGCTGCAGCATTCATTGGACAAACTGAAACCTACACTGCACATTTACAATACTTGACAACTTTACCACTAACTTGTTATTGTTTCTGATCGTCAACACCTGTTTGCTTTGAGCGCATCCACCCTCACTCGCTACGCACACGTTACCCTACTCTTTCAACAATGTAACACATAAACATGTGAACTGCACTTAAACCCGGGCTTGGCCATTTTCACACCATACTAGCATTAAAAGTTGTGATGTGGCATTTCTTCATCTACGCTCATTCCCATATGTCACATGGAGTGTAAGGCAGTTTGTTTGCACCAAGTTTTTCAGTTCTTTAAGAGCTGTTCTTCGAAAGGCCACTAAAGGTTGGCTCGGGAAGCTAGTCAATACCGTAGACGCCCATGGTAAAATACCCAAATATACATCGGAAGTGAATGTGTTTACAGTAGGGCTGCCACGATTAGTCGACTAATCGGCTATTAAAATAATCGGTGACTATTTTAGTAGTCAACTAATCATTTTGAGTTATTTTTCATAGAAACGTACTATAAAAGTGCCCCAAAATACTCTTATTGCAGCTTCTTACGTGGTTTTGGTTTTGGTCTTTAAAGCTAATTTCCGCATTCATGACGACTATAAGGGGGATGAATATTTGTATAACTCACCCGTTTGCATTTTATAAAGGCTCCAAGTTACGCAGAATAAAGGGCGGGCCGCTTTGAGTGACAGGCTGTCTGCTGATAGTGTCCTCGGCTTCTCAGTCAGATCCACCTTTCGCCCAAATATGGTCACTTCTGGCTCCAAAAAACAAGAATGTGAGTTCACAAACCAATGTGTGATGTCATGGTAGCTACGTCCATTATTTTTACAGTCTACAGTGTGCATGTAAAGCCCACAGGAGCAGGTATTTCTGATCCTCTGGTGGGTTCGTTTGTTTAGCAGATTTGAATTCAATTAATGGTTTAGCCTTACCGTCGACAACAAAGGCTACCACATTCAGTAAAATAGACAAACTGTTGTCCAGTCTGCCTCTTGGTCATCTGTAGGCTCGGGTGAAGCTGCTGGCAGATCCCGTACTGCACAACAATCCACAAAATGACAGAACCCTTGTAATCTGCTCCAGGACTAGAATTAGCTCGATCACCACACTCGCTTCTTGAGTCAGTTACACACCCAGTATTTATTGCAAATAATTTAAATCAGAAATTGAAAGTCAAAGATTTTTTTCTCATACTGGAATCAAAGTGAAGCTGAGGTCACAGCACAGAAATTTGGCCTGTTAGATCTGCTGTAAGAAGGTATGAGCACTTGGCGAGCTGTAAGTAAAAGCTACCACGATACCACACACCCGCACAGCCACGAAGCTCTTTGATTTATTTCAAACTTAATGAGGAGTGTGGAAAAAACTCCTGCAGAAGACCAGACGATCCATCTTATCCAGTGAAATTGTGAACTTAGTGGTACGTTTTTTTTTTCCCGAAGTGGATGTTTTTACAAAATTCTGGTGGATCTGTGAATGATATCATCTTTTTAACAGTATAAATCATTTGATAAACCGAGGACACGCCTGCTACATTTTCTGGTGGCCTTGAGGTTTATGTTTATTAAAGCATTCAACATGTCAAGATTTATTTTGCACCATAACTATTGTGATTTTCGTGAAGCGCTCGTAGCTCACAATGCTGTCTTTGTTAAACCGACTCAAACACAGATTCCAGGAGAGGTTGAAACAGTTAAATGTTTTTTTTCCAAGGTTAAGGCATGGATCTCTGCTGTTTGACTTGGCCAGCTGCGACTCTTTGCCAAACAGATGTCTTTATTGGAGTTAAGCCTCCTTCATTGACTCGAGTTCCCTCATTCAGACAGAAATCACATTTAATCTGGCGTCACTTGATCTCAATTAATCTACAGTATTTTCATCCCTGCCACCTAAAGCAGTTCAGCTGAGGTATTTCTCCCAGTGATAATAGGTTTCTCAGAACATTGTCACATTAGCACACAGTGTATTAATGGTATTAAATAGGCGGGAGTGAATCACAGCAACACTTGCGTCATCTTTCACTTTTAATGAGGTCACAGATTCTCGGCAGACAGGTTAGCACACCGTCTGTCACGTCACTCTCATTCATAAGCTTATCGCCTGCTGACAGCTGCATGTATTGTGATGCTCTCAGTGTTATATCATACAACAAAGGGCTGTTCTCAGGTCAGATCAGCTCAGTTGACTCCAGCTGTAGTGGCATCTTGTTGTGTTGTGATATCACAAACAGATGCGTTACTGTATGTTCTCTGGAAAAGGCCCGTCTGACTTTGTGCTGGACGAAAGCAGGAGAGACTCGTCCAGGTTCAGGGAAATGTTTAGCGTAAACTCATCTCCACATGCATCTGGCAGCGGTATCTGAGCAACCCTGCTGGACTGGAGGAAGAGCTAGCTGTTGTGATTGACTGTGTGAACAGACTGTATATTTGTGTGTGTGGCACCCACACTGTACGTCGTATATCCTCGGCCTGTCTTAATGTCCCTTTTCTCCTCCTCTGTTCTGGCTCAGGACTGAATTCCCCTCCCTAGCCCCAGATGTAAAAACAAGCCCAACACAAGTGTACATTTCCCTGGTAAATCTGTCAGTGGATATGTCATCCAGACACTGTACACTCCACTCGCTGAGACACTGCACAAAGGCAAGAGGAGATTTACTTGTTGCAGGGGAGGGGGAGAACATCGTTACGTTCATGTAAATGTCTGGTTCTTTTGGACCTGGTTGAAACTTTAGGGGTGAATAATAGTTCTCAAAACCAATGCATAGGTGGTGGATTTTTATTGTTTAATGCAGACCTTTATTTGTTTCAGTCTGGGATATTAAACCACACACCGTCCCTGTGTGGTGGATATACTGAACGTACACAGGACATACGATGGGCATAATGCCAGTGTGAAAAGCGGAGGTTAGCAGAAGTTCATATCAGCTAATGCAGGATGAGGTCATCATGACAGTAGGGGTGTGTCATATCATCTTGTTCATGATAATACCGGTATATTTTTAAAAATATGAAAAATTCATATCGTGATACTCGCGATGTTTCGACTTGTTAACATATTGATGTCATACTGTTACCCACGGCAACAGCAAGCATGGCTGAAAGTGAAATTATTACAGACTCTGGATGTTGTCAAAAACAGGAGCAGCTTCAGTAGTGTGGAATAAACTGTGGCGTTCTGAATGTTTTATGAACAGCCCCGGACTTCTCAAACTCTTTTAGTGACTTACTGCTCAGAGGGAACTCATTCAGCGGCTCCTCTGGCAGCAGCACAGCGTCTCTCCCTCTCCTCTCTCGCCATGTGCACACACGAGTCGGTGTTGTTTTGTCATAAACCTTTGGTAATGTAAACCTACGTGACGCTCGCTGCTCAACAATAAACTCCATATATGTGAGTGTGTGATAGTTGTGGTATCATAACAGCCTGTCACAGGTTACAGCGTGATGATTAGAGGAGAAATGGCAGAGCATAAAGGTCCAGGTGGGAAAAAAAAAAATAATTTAGGATTTTACTAAAAGAAGGAAATCACCTGTTGATTTATATATATAGATCCCAGGGGACATTTTTTTGTATTTGGGAGCTGTTTAAATGTGTAATTTGTGGTAGATTTTATTTAGTTGAACTATTAACAGGATCTGAAACTCACTCTGAGTTACTGTTGTTGTTCACTAACTAAAGAAATGAGAGATCATATTTGAAAGCAAACTGTAAAACTATATGACTTATTTTGTTGCAATACTGTTTTCTTAAATCAATAATAAAATATATGTTTTTTAATATATTTGTCACATTGTCAAGAATATCGTTATCGCAAAAATACCCTGAAATATTATGATGTTATTTTAGGGCCATATCGCCCTCCCTTACATGACAGCATGTGTGATTGACTTGCATTTCATTGGCTAGGTGTCGACTTCAAAGTGAAGACCATCACCGTGGACGGGAACAAGGCAAAGCTGGCGATATGGGTAAGTGTCAAACACTGTTCACTGTTTGTTCACTCTCATTACGTCCCAGTGAAATGGAAGTTAGAGCGTCTTTAGCATTGATACTGTGACATATTTCTGAGGGAAATGTATCATTTGAGCAGTTTACAGTTGCAAGAGGGATTAATTAAAATCTTTTGCATTTGATTGGACTGATAAAAAGTAGGCGAGCTTATAGTTCAGCAGCTGTAATGAACTATTGGCTTCACACACACCTTCATCACAGTTAGATCAGGAGGAGGAGGAGGACTGCCACATTGTTTTGGTTATGAAAACAAAGGTTTAACCCACTTATATCCAGACACACATCTCTTCCAATCTCTCTTTATTTTGCTCTGTTGGCTGCTACAACCTGTGTTGCTCGCTAGTCGCCCAAAGTCACATATGATAAGGTGAACTTTTGTAAAGACTCGAGTGCAGGATGTGTCACTGAACATTTAAAACTGTTCTACAGGAAGTGAAAAGTGATACTGACTTTTTAAAAAATATATATTTGGCAAATACCATGAGATAAATGATCAGTTAACACAGACACACATGATTGAAACTGGGAAATTGTATTCATTTCACTTGGCCTCTGAGTAACGCTCATGAAACAAAAATGTGGCTCCTCTCCGTCTGTCAGTGCAGAGATAAACTATCAAACTCCTCCACGGCTCCCTCTGCCTGTTTTCTCAAGTGGCCACAAGATGGCGCTTACGTAACACAGATTTCTTCCTACATGCTGGTTGAGGGACACAGAGGAGTCAGACTTGTTGTTTATGTCCGTCTGCCCCGGTTTTCCTTCTGTCTGAGCCTCCAGTTTTTCCTGCGAGTGTGTCCAGTAGTGTTGAGCCGTTCGTGTTTTGCAGGACACTGCAGGACAGGAGCGCTTCCGAACCCTGACGCCTAGTTACTACCGCGGTGCTCAGGGAGTCATCCTGGGTAAGCCAAGCTGTTGACGCTATCATGGCTCAAGCACCTGTGTGTGTGTGTGTGTGTGTGTGTGTTTGTCTGTCTGTCTGTCTGTCTGTCTGTCTGTCTGTCTCAGTGTGTGTGTGTGTGTGTGCCCTTCTTCACTTCAGAGTCAGGCCCCTGGTTGTAAAGAGAGTGATGGCTTTTCATCCTGTGACCCACACACACACGCACACACTCTTCTTGCCTCTCTTTCTCTGGTAGTTAGTTTATACCCTTAAGTCAGACTCATATGGACATGCATGTACAGCATGTATACACACACACACACACACACACACACACTCAGGAACTAAGTTAAACCTTTAAAACAGACTTCCTCTGCAGCTTATGGTTTTTGACCACTCTAATGATATATAGAAACACAAGGCGCCGTGCTATAGCACTGGGATTATGAGAGCTCCCAGTGTGACACTATCAGAAGCCTTCAAGCCCTTTGGTTTTATCAGCCATGTGTTTTTAGTTGGATAACACTTTATTTTAGTTATTTATTTTGTCTTAATTTGTTGTACCTTTTTAAATACCTCAGAATTATTAGAAGTGTTATCAGGTCTGTTTTTCATTTAAATAACTAATCAAATATGTTCTGTTGGACTTAATCACTCTTGAAAGCACTGTTTTAATTGTCTTGTATGTGTACATACACTGTTATTAATGCAACAGTGCCATGATTACACTGATTTAATTATTCCCATGCTGCAAAATTAACCTTTTGTACCATCATTGATTCAGAGATGGAAAATTCCCGAAGCCTTTCCTGTAGTCTTACTCAGAACCAAATGTGTAGTCAACTTATCTTGGAAATGTACGATGTGTGTATGTGTTTGTCTTCATCCTGAGCATGTCTCCTTCATTTGGCTTTGCACAGTGTACGATGTCACACGACGGGAAACCTTTGCCAAGCTCGACAACTGGCTCAACGAGCTCGAGACGTACTGCACGAGGAACGACCTGGTGAAAATGCTCGTGGGGAATAAAATCGATAAGGTGAGTGTTTGTGGTGATGTATTAAGTGTGTTCTCACTCAGGTTTACGAGGCTGTTTGATTAAAAAGGAGCAGCATATTATGATTTTTTAATTGTTTAATTTGTTATTTTTAATGGTCTTATTATGCACTTTCTGTCTGATGTTACAGATCTATAGATAAAACAGGAATATACAGTTACTCTGCACAAACACATTTTCACCGAAGAGGAAAATAAATCGCCAAAAATAAGTATCTTTAAGAATAAAACTCAGCTTACAACCAGTTGACAAATTACAGAACTAAACGACCGTGGCAGACCCACTTTCATATTTTTGGCAGCGGCTCCTTCACCAGGATACCAGAATCAGTCAGTGGGGATAAAAATGCCCACTAAGTAGAGCATTACGAATTTATTGTGTCCTGTTCTTTGTCTGCGAAAATCACTTTTCCTCTCTGCCCCGTGACGACCACAGTAGCTGACAGCTCCGCCCCGGCAGACCTCAAATAAGCCATTACCTCTCTTTTGTTTTAGGAAAACCACGAGCTAGACAGGGCCGAAGGGCTGAAGTTTGCAAGAAAACATTCCATGCTTTTTATAGGTAAGTCAGGAGGATTCCCTTCTCCGCAAAGACCTGCTGGGCATGAGTTACAGCAGACTACTACACAGGGGGAAACAGCTTTTGAAATAACTATCATGCTTGCTGAGGAATGCTCGCATAGTTCTATTAATAAAACAGGCATCATATATCATCTTCCACGCACTCTGTTGTTTTCCCCATGCTTTTGTTTTTCACATTTGTCAGTAAAGGACTACTGGAAAAAGTCAAAGTGACTTGTGCTAGTTTTTACTGTCATCGAGTGCTGAAGAATTATTTTAAAAATGTTTGTTGAAATGGAAAGAATTCACTCTAATCTTTCCCAGTATGTTAATTCCGAATATTTTTAGTGTCACAGATTTCTTTATCCTATGATTATTACTGTTTCATAATGTTTCTGGGTTTCATCATGTTGTGTAGCCGGTGTGGACAATATCCCCTAATGACCTCCTAAGGTTCACTATTAGCGTCCGGGGACTGACAGTTATTGTGGAGACATTTTCCACCACTCGCCCTTTCACTCCGGCACATGATGACATCAAGATGCAGACATTACCAGTTGTTGTATCTGTATCTCATCTTCTTTTCCTCCTTCTCTTTTAATCCACTTCATTTCTCTCCTCTCTTGTTTTTCCTCTCCTTTCCTCTGTGTTTGTTTTTGTCCCTTCACTCCTCTTTTTTCTCCTCCTTTATTTTCCCCTCCTCACTCTGTCCTTCCAGAGGCGAGTGCTAAAACCAGGGACGGTGTTCAGTGTGCGTTTGAGGAGCTGGTGGAGAAGATCATCCAGACGCCCGGCTTATGGCAGAGCGAGAACCACGGCCGAGGAGTCCAGCTCACCGACGAAGACGCGGGAGGCGGAAGCTGCGGCGGCTACTGCTCCCTGGTCTAGACGACACACACATACACAAATACATTCACACACACACACGTGTTCAAACATACATGTGAGTACCACACACAGTGCCACACAAGCATACGAACAAACACACTTGAAAGAACAGCCCGCCCCTTTCCCACTGTGTGCTGTCCTGAGCTGAGCTCCCTCCTCAGACATGAAGGCGAGGTCCAACTGTCTCCCCTCCGCTGAGCTGTAAGGGTTGACCATCCACACACACACACACACACACACACATACACATACACACACATATACTACCTGTGTTCACACAGACACAACTTTTTGCACACTTTCTAATAACAATGCTGCGCTAAAATGCAAACGCAGCTCAGCCTTCCTCTTAATGGAATTTGAGTGAGTTTTTCTCTCCTCTGTTTTGTTTTGAGTTTAAAGTTTTCTGCAGTTTGGGTCCTTGGTCCAAATATTAACTGTTCTCATTTCATACGTGTGATTTACTCAAAGCAGTGCAGCGAAACGAGTCCAAAAGTGTAAACCAAAGTTTGTCAGGCATGTGGCTAAATGTCTCAGGTATGATAATGAGAACGGAAAGTTTTGACCAAGGGTTCCCTCTCGTCTCCAGCATGCTTATTGTCCTCGGAGCACCTTGCCTTAGTGAGCACATCTGTATCAATGCAGGGCCGACTTTTTCTCCAGTGTTTGTCTTTCCCCTGTGTTGTCCCGTGCTTGGTCCCGATCCTGCCCACAGACTGAACATTATGCTGCTTATGGAGAAGCTTATCAAGCCAAGCCATCTTGTATCCCATCTCACCACTCTCCGTCTGAAGCTTGGATCATGTGTCTCTGTTGTCCACACAACTGCCTCATTTCTTCAGAATATAATAGAGTTACCAACCGTCTGGAATGACGTTTTGCTACTTTTATTGACTTGGACTTCAAACTTTTGGTGTTTTTTTGAAGAGCGCATAAATCAAAGAGATTGGCACCAGCGAGCTTTCCACTGGGTGCCGAAGAAGAGGGAACCTCTTAAAATTGCACGCCTTTTGTTGTAACGAGTTGCTTTAATGGAGTGCGACCTACTGGCACTCCCTCACTCAGACAGATAATATCAGTAACAACACTACTATGGTTTTTCATATAGATCCCTTTGACTGGACAGAGACAAAGGAAAAGTGTTCAATATTAGACGGGGCAGTGAGTCATAAGGGTGTTTCCACTGAATTTGGAAAATCAAAGCAAAAGCTGTGTGCGCCACACTGCTAATGGATTTCACAGTACTCCTATCTCTGTATTTGTATCCGAGGCGCAGTTATAAATGTACTGTACCCCTGACCCCTGACCTCTGACCATGTTTGTCATATTCGAGTGCTGGTGTGTGCTCCGGGAAATTCTGGGAAATGTAGTTCTGAGAGATTGATCTTCTAACAGGGACGGTGAAAATGACATGGATGCAAGCATGTCTTATCACAAGTTGTTTTTTTAATCTGTTTTTAATTGCATGGGAAACTCTGCGTGCCATTTATTTGTATTTGTTTGTCCAGTGAACGGCCTCCAGAGGCTGTTTACTATAAACACTTTAACTTATATTTAGCTTAAATATAAAAGGTTGCGTACCATTTGAATTTAATGGTATAACAAAACAAAAAGGAAGTAGGCTTTTACTTATTTAACTGGTATAGCTGTCTTTTTTGTCTTCAGAAATATGTTGAAACCTTGTAAATTGTGTGTATTTTAGGAATTTGGTGGGAGAATTCCTGTATGAATTGTAAAGCTGAATGTAAACATATTTCACTACAAACCGCCCTGTGTATTAAACTAAATAAAATTCTTTTTTAAACAAACACAAGTGAATATTTCGGTTTTAATGCAGCTCCAAGCTGAAACATCTGGAACTCCAAGAGCCAGGGATAAGTATTTTTTAGTAATTGGCTGTCATTAAGTTTGCTGTGGTGGTTGCCATGTTGGAAATGTCACTGTTAGGTGATGGGTTTTTCACTCCGCACCCTTCACATTCCTCTGTCCTCAGAATAAAGACCTGTGTTTAAACAGTGTCCGAGGAGCCCTCAGACCCCAGACGTGTGATCTACCTAAATCATCTTTTTGGCAGACTTCTCAGGAAACACCACCACAGCCATAACTCACTCTACCAGTGCTTTAACTGGGATGTGCATAATTCCTGGGTGATTATGAAAGGGTCAGAGCTGGCAGCGAGAGCGAGGGACTCTTCCCTTGTAGCGTATCCCTCATCTCCTGCCGCAGTCCAGGCAGCCGTCTGGAAATATGTCTCAGTCAAACAACAGCGGAGGCACACGGCGTAATAATGCCTTCATGTGGTCCAACCATGTGCTGAGCGGTAGCACTGCTGTTTCCTCATGCCTACACTGGAAAAACATCAGCTGCTCCAACGGCTGAGCTGACAGGTTCGATATTTTCTGAGAATAAGTTATAAAGCTGGTTGATTCACATTCTTTTACAGCCACATCATGAGAAGTAGGGCAGCGTGTAGTAGCCTTCAAAATATACAGTCACTGCCCTTTAAAAACTGAGTAATGCCTCTTTTTGGTGCACAAGCAATGTCAGAAATGTTATCTAACACAGAATTGACTACTAACAGGGCTGCAACAAAATAATTTTCTATCAGTTACTGATTTTTTTGTCTGTAAACGTCTGCAGGTTTTTAAAAAGGCATACCATGTCTTCAATTCAGTGTCATAAATATAAGGGCCTTAAAGGTTGTTAAATAGTCTTAAATTTAAATTTGTGAGGTCATAATAGCCGCAAACATTTTATCTCATTTCACTTAAATTTTCCACCTTTTAATTTCTTTCAGTCAAAATGAGCTCTTGGGTGTGGAGGTCTACATTTCTGATGTTACAAATCTTTGGAACTAATACAGAGGTTTTACTTGCTACTTGAACTTACCTGTTGGCAAGATGTAGATTAACCTTTTGGTCTTAAACTTGGTTTAAAACAAGTATCTGATACCTATAGACACCCTGTATAGGATGTCTGAAAAAACTGTGAAAAATATGAAAATAAATTCCAACAGCCCAAGGTGACGTCTTCAAATGACTTGTTTTGTCCAACCAACTCTCCCTAACCCAAAGATACTCATTTACAATCAAATTAAACAGAGAAGAAAAGGAAATTTTTGCATTTGAGAAGCTTGAAATTTTTTTCTTAAATGATAAATTACTTGAATAATTTAACAGTTTTATGTTTTGTTGCAATTTATTTTTTTGTCAATCATTTATTCACCTCATCATTTAGCTCTACTTTAGTATTGTCAAAATAATTGAGTTCTTTTTAATAATGGTTTGTCATACCTCAGTATGTCATCACTTTAAATGAGAGAAACAAGTTCAATCAGGGGCGGCACGGTGGTGTGGTGGTTAGCACTCTCGCCTCACAGCAAGAGGGTTGCCGGTTCGATCCTGGGCGTGGGAGCCCTTCTGTGCAGAGTTTGCATGTTCTCCCCATGTCAGCGTGGGTTCTCTCCAGGCACTCCGGCCGGCTTCCTCCCACAGTGCAAAGACATGCAGGTTAATTGGTGACTCTAAATTGTCCGTAGGTGTGAATGTGAGTGTGAATGGTTGTCTGTCTCTATGTGTCAGCCCTGCGATAGTCTGGCGACCTGTCCAGGGTGTACCCTGCCTCCTGCCCGATGTCAGCTGGGATAGGCTCCAGCCCCCCCGCGTCCCTCAAGAAGATGAAGTGGTTAGAAGATGAATGAATGATTGAAGTTCAATCAGACTTTGTTTCACAGAGGTAGCATATTGTTCCCTCCCTGGGCGCCCCGTCGCAGGGATTGCAAGAAGTAAGCATTATGAGAACAACGTGTATTTGTTCATTCATACATTTTCCATAACTGCTTATCCTGTTAGGGGTTGCGGGGGGGGGCATTGTCATTCTTCAAATTGTGTTTCCATTGTCCTTTAAGACGCACCGTGCCACGCCAAGGTGCGCCAGAGATGGACCCTTTCAGGAGAAGGTCCAAAAGCCGGGCTGCCCGCCCTCAAGCGGGTAGCAGAGACGTCTCGCCAACCGCAGCCAACTGCCAGTGACTGCCGTTCTCATTGGTGACTGCTGGTCCGTCAAAGCTGGAGTACCTGCAGAAAACCCACGCTGACATGAAGAGAACATGCAGACTCCACAAATTTCCTTCAGGTTTCTAAAACTTCACTATACCACCAGGCTAGCAGCTTTGTGAGACTGTGCGGGTGCTAACATTAGCATGCTAACATGTTCACAACAACAATGCTAACATGCTGATGCTTAGCAGTTTAATGTGTTTAGTATATTAGCACACAAGTTCAGCACAGTACAGTTGCGGCTGCTGGAAATGTCAATAGTTTTGCAGGTATTTGAGCCAAAGTGTTGGACAACATAATATTTTGACCTGATGATGGCACTACATGAAATTAAGGGATCACCCAATACTTAAATTCATCCTGTGAGGAATGTTAATTAAAAACTTTAAGAACTTAATGACAATCCATCCAACAGTTGTTGGTATATATATTTCAGCAGGCTACTCTTTGTTTGACCAGGTCACCCACAGATGTGTTTCATGTCAGCTAAGAATTGTTCGCTGACAAACTGAACATAGAGCCCTATGGTCTTTAAGATCAGTGACGATGCCTGGCAGCACAGCAACAACAAAAAAACTGCAAGGAAGTTGTGCTGTTGTAAAAATGAAGGGTGAGACTAAACACTCATTTGCAAATCCAGACTTAGTAACATGCCAAACTCCCAGAGCCTTCATGTCCTGCCCGACCTTGTTGCCTCAGAAGCCTGTGTGCTGCTCTGCAGTTCCAGCTTGATGGACTGCTTTCTGTCTTGCTGTCTGTGTCTGAGCATGCAGCCAGGCGCAAAGCTTACAGAGCAGATCTGGCTCTCATTAACACAGTCTTGTCTCCCTGCTCCTCCTCTGCCTGTCGCTGCGGTGAACTGTATGGATTAGAGCTCAGACTAGCCCCTCTGGAGAGCAGTCATGCTGTCATGTATAAAAATGTTACGAGACGTCGGGCATCGTTTCATAAGGTGTTGGGTTCCCAGACGTCACTCACTTTGTCATGCTCATTGCCGGTTTGCTATCAGGTAATTGTTTTGCCATGCTGGCTTATAAGAGAAAAGAGGAGGGTGAGAGGATGATTGGAAAGATCATCCTCTGCCACA